ATTAAAGGATTTCACCATTAACACCTCATTACCATTAGTTATAGATTGTGCTGAAAATGATTTTGTGAATTAATATGTAAAACCAGTAGGGTTGTTTTTAAAAAAATATAAATTTTAGTCCATAATACATATACTCTCTTCTCTCTATATAGGCAAAGCATTTAGGTATTATATTTGAAATTAATTATTGCCACAACAAGCATTGTTGCTTCTAGTAAAATAGAAGAGAATAATTTTTAAAATTGGTCTTAGATTAAGGTCTTTGAAAATTTTGTTGAGGTCCTTGAAAAGTCATGGAAAGTCCTTGAATTTCAATCTCATCATAGAGTGGGAACCCTGTTATTGTTTAAATAAATATTCTTGTAGATATTTATAGTATCCTTGTAGATATTATTTAATAATTTCTACATCTTTGAAAATATTCTAAAAACAATTTACGCTGTTAAATTTCGTTATTAGGGTATCCTTCCCGTAAACGGACAAATTTTTTGGTCCTATGAATGTCTGCTTAACGGAGGTTTCACTGTATTTATTTTGAACATAACTCCAAAAAAAAAAAAGAAAAGCCGTATTTGTTTCTTTGGATTTCTTTGCATTTAAAAAATCTTAATCATTCAAATATAAGGCGTATGTTACATAACAATTACCCAGTGAATGAAGTTCAAGGATTACATCACAATGTGACACAATAATCCAGTTTTTGGCATTTTTCTTGCATTTTCGAAAAATATTTTAAATTTAAATAAGTGTAGAATTATGATATGTTTTTTCTATTTTTATTCAATTGCCAATAAAATACAGATGATTGAAATCTGCACTTTTAAAGAAATAAATAAACCTAGCACCTTTTTTACTACTTGCAGTATTAGTTTTGAAACTATATATTTATTTTAGTTTAATTATTTAAAATTCATAGTATAGTTATTTAGTTTTAGTTATATAACGTGTTTTAATCTAAACAAAAATAAACAAATACTATTGTTGATTTTATGTATTATGTTAATTTTGTGTTTATAAATTAAGAAATTTAAATGATAGAATTTTTTTTTTATTACTGCACAGATCCTAATTATGATTTTATTTATTTATTAATTTTTTTTTCTTGGAAAGTGCTGAAAAATATTTTTTGAGTACTTAAGAGGTGCTTATTTTTTGTTGAAAAATCTGACTACACACCCTGTATATTACAAAATTAGTTTTCAATAGTAGCTAAACGTATTGACATAAGTATTTTTAAAGAATTATTTAAACAAAAATTATTTGATTGCTTACCATGATAAATTATGTCTAAACATTAAAATGTTTTAATATAAAAATATTGTTAAATAATTGAAATTTTAGTTTAAAGCACCAATATTTTTGTCTTTATTATTTGCACACACTATGGGAAACATTTGAATAAAAATCTTAAAAGATTTTATAAAATGTTATTATATTATTATTTACTTTTAAAAAACAAAACAAAAAAAAAACAGCGAATTTAATTTTATTTTACAGCTGGGAGAAGTAGAGAAATTTATGTTAATTCTTTTGCAAATATATCCTCTAACTTTATTTTATTAAAATTGTTTTGCACCAAATATTTTAATTTTATTAAAAAATATTTCTTTAAAATGCCAATTTTCTTTGAATAAATTTTTGCTTTCAACAATATTTTGCTTGTGCTCATATTAAAATAAGATACTTGAATATCATTTTTAAAATGTTCAATNAATTTATGTTAATTCTTTTGCAAATATATCTTCTAACTTTATTTTATTAAGATTGTTTTGCTCCAAATATTTTAATTTTATTAAAAAATATTTCTTTAAAATGCCAATTTTCTTTGAATAAATTTTTGCTTTCAACAATATTTTACTTGTGCTCATATTAAAATAAGATACTTGAATATCATTTTTAAAATGTTCAATAATTTATAAAATATTATTTTTTTTCTTCTAAAGACTCTTTCTCTTTTTAAAGTTTCATAGTATTCTGTTTTACTTGCAAATTATTAATGGTTTGTTAATACATGTTTCATTTTCTTTACAGTAATAAAAGTTATTTAGATAAATAATTATTACTTATGAAAATTTTTGTTTAATATTTTAAAGGATTTGGAAGCCTACATTAGTAGCTATACAGGATTAGCTAAGCTCTACCGTCTTCTTTATATTGCTGATCATTGTCCAGCGTTAAAGATTGAAGCTTTAAAAATGGCTCTGTCATATGTACAAAATACCTATAACGTCAACATCTACCAGATGATTCATCGGAAACTGGTCGATGCAACTGGGTAAGAAATTAAATAATTTTTTAAAGCCTTATTTAATATTTTTTTTTTAAAATTAGTATTTTTAAGGAAATTTTTTAAAGTAAAAACTTTTAAAGTACCTAGAATTTTATTGTATATTGCAGAACTAAGAAATTTCAGAAAAGTTGGCATTATGGAAGGCAAGGAATTCAATATAAGATAGATGGTTCTAAATAATATTTAAGCTAACTTTTAAGCATCAGCTTTAGAAAGCATATATTTTAAATAAAATAGTTGTTTAATTTTAAGTCTATTAAGTTTATTGTGTATTATTTAAGTAAAAATAAGTACATATTAAAAATTTTTGCTATAATATGTTTCTAATTTTTGTATTCAAAACGATTTTAAGTTGTTTCAAATTTGCTAAAGTCTTTACTATATAGGGTCAATAAAATGAAAGAGTAATCTTATAATATCCCAATACATATTTAAAAATAATTCCACCATTTAGGGATATTTTATTTGAAGACTTTAAAATCATTTAACTCAGTTAAAAATGCAATTTTAGTTACTCAAGCTTATTTTCAGAAAAAATATTACAATTGCTCGATATTTGTTTAAATTTTTTTTTACTGAGTTACTTGATTTCAAAATCGGCAAATAAAACATTACTAAATGGTGGAATTGCCTTTAACGTGACATTTGGCATTTGCTTGTAGCTGTATAATCTTAATTCTTACAAGGGAAACTAGGGAAGTGTGACTCGCCAATTTTGAAATAAACTAGTAGGATGTATGCCTTATGAGGAATAATTTTAGGGGGCGACATTCGTTTCGGCCCATAGAAGGTCCTGTGAGAGATAAAAAATAATTTAATATATTGAAAAATCGATATTTTATTACTTCAATGCAGACTATTAGTTATTGTATTTGTCTCATAATGCAATTAATTTGTAATTAATTGTCTGAGTAATTATTTTACTAATTAATAAATAAATTAATTATTAATTAATTAATTATTTATTAATTAATTATCAGTTAGAAAATTAATCAATTATTAATTAATTAATTGATTTGCAATTACATACTCCAATTAATTTGGTAAATTTTTTGAAAAAAAAAAATTTAAAAAATTTTGATGTCATTTTTTTTTAAGTTAACCTAACAGGTTGGTTCTTCTAAAAAACTACAGATATATAAAATTTTCGAAATCAATTTTGACAATAAATATGCATTATGGCAATAAATATGCATTTTGGCAATAAATATGCATAATGTACATGAAAGTACCACAAAATTAATTGGAGTATGAGACAATTACATTAACTAATTGTCTGCATTGAAGTAATAAAATACAGATTTTTCTACATATTGAATTATTTTTTATCTTTTACAGGACCTTCTATGGGCCGAAACGAATGTTGCCCCCTAAAATTATTCCTCATAAGGCATACATCCCACTAGTTTATTTCAAAATTGGCGAATCACACTTCCCTAGTTTCCCTTGTTAGTTATGTAATTTTTTTCTTTTAAATTTTAATTGCAACTACTATAATTAGAGCCGTGATGGCTAACAGGATAGAGCGAACACATTCCAATGTGGTGATTCAAATCCCAGCAGTGACTGGTCGATACGAATTCCACATCCGGCTTGCACCGACCACAGTGCAGACGTAAAAGCATCCTCAATGATAGAAGAATCATGGGTTAGAGTCCCCTTACTGTCAATCTAACAGTGGGAGGTTTTCGTGGTTCTCCTCACCATGTAACACAAATACGAGTTAGTTCCTTCAAAAAGTCCTCCTTAAAGGCAAATTTCTTCCAATACTTGATCCGGGAGTTCCCTTGTCTTCTGAATTGGGTTAACAATTACAAGTCTGCGGAGTTGAACATTAATGGTCGTAAACCCAAAAAATTGGGTCGGCTGTTCAACAACGGTTTTAAAATAAAATAAAAATAAAGCGTCTGAGTAATCTTAGTATTCCTATTCTGTGAAATTCTTCGGTTATAAGAAATAAAAGTAACTACTAGAATTAAACTAATGATGATTTATTTGGATGTTTAGAAATTCGAACTTGCCTGATGTCACTGGTGGTCTGAATGCTGGTGTAGTTCCTTTGGACACACAATGGATTGAAACTAAAAGCAAAAAGGCAGCCCTGAAAGTTGAAAAATTAGATGCTGATTTAAAAAACTACAAAAGTAATTCCATCAAGGAAAGCATCAGGTATTGTATGATAATAGTTCTTGCAACAAGCAACAATTCTCATTTTCTCTCATGATCAAAACACTTTTTCATTCTTCAAAAGTACACAATGATCTCAGAATTCAGATGCTTTTTACCTCTTCAAAATAAAAAGTTTCAGGTATGAAAAGGACATGTCAAAAAAGATTAATCACTCTGAAAAACTAAATCCCTTATCCAGACATTTATTTGGGAAATGATTTTCCCACATTTTTTAACAATTAAAAAAAAAAAAAATTTTTCTGTCTGCATGATCTGTTGAAAAACCTCATGTAAATAAAAAAGAAGTTTTTTGTTTTTTTTCATAGGATAGTCAAACATTTTTACTGTTTGAAAAGATGTTGTGATGAACATTTGAAGAATTATAGCTTAATATTTGGTAAGAGGAACAAACTGTGAATATTAATGAAGCCAATTATTAATGTTAAAAAAATGCAAAGAGACACTTTTTTTACTCAAATTTGGGCAGTTTTTTTTAAAAATTACTCATTTCTGTTCTTTTTTTTAGTTTAGTTTACTTTAGAGTAGTGCACTTTCAGTCAAACTAGTTTTATACACTTTTTCATAACCTTTTAAGTAATCAAAATAAATTAAAAAAAAATCTATATTTTTCTTCACTTGAATTGAAAAAAAAAAAAAAAACATGCCTGTTCATCCAGTAAAGAAAAAAATTAACTTTTTGAAAGAGGAATATTCTTTTAATGGACTTATTATTTTATTAATAGCAATTCTTTTAACACAATAAACATTCTTATTTAATTTATTGTTAATTAAACGATAAAAATTATTATTATCGTAATTATTATTATTAAATTATTAAAAAATTATTATCTGAAAATATGCTGATAAATTTCTTGATTTTGAGATTTCAGTATATTTTGATCAAATTGGGTCAAATGTCTGTCATGACCTGTACATAAAATAGTGCAGCATGTGCTTCCAAATAAATCATGCCTGTTTTTATATAGATGATAAATCAACAAACATATTTTTCTCTAAAAACTGCATTTAAAAATAGAAGCTTTTGATAATTATCTGATTTTTTTTTTTTTTTTGTGAATAAACAGTTTGGCTGAATTTTATTTTTAATTGAACTTAATTATAAAAAGCAAGTTTTATAAAATAATAAAAATAACATATTATTTTTATTATTGTATAAAATTTATAAGCATGCCCTGTACATTTTTTGTAAGAAATTAAATTTAAGTTCATAAATGTTTTGAGGTAAATATTTTTTAGTCGTGAAATATGTTTTTTGCAATCCTTTTTTCACTTGTTTTATCTTTCAGACGCGGCCATGATGATTTGGGTGATCATTATTTAGATTGTGGTGATTTAAGTAGTGCATTAAAATGCTACTCAAGAGCCAGAGATTACTGCACCAGTGGCAAACATGTTGTTAGCATGTGTTTAAATGTTATAAAGGTACACTTCATTTTTTGTTTATTTTGTTTTTAACAGACTTCATTTTTTTTTGTTCATTTTGTTTTTAACTGACATAATGATCCTAGTTGGGTAACATTATTGTTTAAATGAAAATTAAATATTAAATTAACTCAGCTATATGAAATTTTTTTTAAATATTTTGAATCAAATGACTTTACTATAATTTTGAACAAGAAGTTTTTAATTAATTATTTATTCTAACGTCGCTAGTTATGTAAGCAATTATTTCTATCTATTTATAATTATTATGTTTAGTGTTCTCAGATTTAATATTAAATTTATATTTCTGCGTTGCTTTTATTTGATAATTTGATTGCTTTTAGTGATTGCATGGTACGTAGTGTTTTTAAAAAGTGCTTAAAGGTGCTTTTTTTATTTAGCTTTGTGATATTACATACATATATTTTTTCCTCCTTTTCCCTTCTTCACTCAGATGCTTCCCAAAAACACAATTGGTCGAAAAAAATGGTAACCAGTTTATAACACAAAAAAGCATTTGTTAACAATGGTAAAAGGTGAAGTCTGAAGAAAATTAATATAACCAAGCCACCTAAACAAAACTACAAGTACACATCTTTTTTTCCTCTTCCGCTCTCAATCAGAGCATTCCCTCTATCTTTTTTTTACAACATCTACCTTGACAACAGCGCCATCACAACATGGAGGTATGACAAACATCATAAAATTTTGTAGTGTAAAACACTCAATAAACGTATCATTAAGCTATATAATATGAAATATTCAATACAAACAAAAAAAAATATAATATGGGACATTCAATAAAAAAAATTATGAACAACCATTTTATACTAACATAGAAAAACAATGTAATATTATACAAACGTATAGCAATATGGAACGTTCAATAAAAACACATATGGAGGCATGACAGGCATTTTTAAAAAATGCTTAATTTTCCCTTTTCGAAAATGAGATTTTTTTTCTTTAACCATGTCGTTTTACGCTGTGTATTATGCAAAAGCGTAGTTTTTACATTATTCTATTCAACGTTATTCACAATTTATTCAACCATAGTCTATTTTGGTGTGCTGTTGGTTCATGGCGTATAAAAAACGCCAATAATTTTACATGTTTGATGAAATACTTGCTAGTCCGTACATGTCTATACTGAGCTGGGTTCGGTAAGATTATTGCACTATCATGTGCAATTCTGCTGCATTTTACAAGATATTCTTAATTTCAACGTTAATTTTTCACCTTCTGATATCGAACCGAAAAATTTTTCAATCATTTTACAATGTCTCGATCACTTCAATATAAACAAGAACAGCGTTCTTTGTCAGAAACTAGTTATTTTGTCATGATGCTGTGAAGTCTTTGAAAATTATTTTGAATTTTGTTAATGTATATAGTGCTTATAAATATTTTTTGAGTGCTTAAAAAGTACTTAAAAGGTGCTTGTTGTTTGTTGAAAGATTTGACAATGCACCCTGGAATGTTTTTTTCTCCATTGAATTTATAATTGTTGTTTTTTAATTTGAAATGTTGTGTTTATAAAAGTATCCAGAAGGGGCAAAAAAACATTTGACTAATGGGTAACAAGCCCTGTGGCAGAATTTTTTTGGGCTTTCTGCGACAAACCTCTCTAGCAGTTATATCTTTCTGCAAGATGCTTTTAATAATAAAAAATATCCATGTTACTAACTAAATTTAAAGTAAAAAAAACGTTGTGTTTAAAAAATTCATAGGTGAATATCATAGGCGAAATTCTCAAATTTTACTCACCAAGAAAGCAGACTAATTATTTCCTTTTTCACATTTCGTAAATCATCACATCAAAAAAAAAATTACAAATCTTGCAATCCGTAGCAGTTACTGGCGAAATCACGTTAATTAAATATACCGCCTGGATTAACGAGAATATCGGTGCAAAACGACCTTGGCGAATATTGATTTCTTGAATCCAATATTTGAATTTCGCGTGCCGTAATAATATCTGTTTATTTCAAAAATTCAGGAGAATATAAATAATAACTGAGCTATGAAAGACATCGGGATTTCGAAAAAGCAAAGTAAAAATTAGTAGCAATAACTGTCTCTAAGAACGATTGAAATACTTCATAGATTAACGAGAATATCGGCGCAAAATCAGCACGTCAAAGAATAAATTCTGGAGGAGGGGGGAGGATATTTAAACATTTCTGCTGAAAAAGAAATTTTAAATTCATTATTCTATATTTTTCATTCTTCTTAAATAAGAACAGAAAAATCACGGACATTTCTTTCCCCTCCGATGTGCGAAAAAGGCATCTTTTGATTATAATTTTAGAGATATAAAATTTCTGCAGAAAATCAAAACTCTTTATTACTTCTGAAAAATCGAATTCTTTACTTCCTGAAAGAAAACTCTTTCTGCATGAACTCTGTAATATTCTGCGACAATGTCACTGAGTCGCCGCGATTCTGCCACGGAGGTAACCAGTGATCATATTAATGTGATCACAATTTTTCTTTCTTTTGTAACTACTTGTTGCACTTTATAATACTTTTTTTTCCTCCATCTGAAATCTTTTTTTTCCTTCATCTTTCTATAGGTTAGTGTTTATCTCCAGAATTGGTCTCATGTTTTAACCTATGTTAATAAGGCTGAAACAACTCCTGAAGTTACTGAAGTAAGAAGCGATATTCACTCCTCTAACACATTAATTTCTATGGTATGATTTAACAGTATGCTTTGTTTCTTTTATGCTAGCTTAAAAACTATGTTAATAAAATTTAAAACTATGAATTATTTTGCCAACCTATGCTATTTTGAATTGATCTTATTTTCTTTAAAAAATAATTTATGTTTGACTTTTGTTTCTACTTGTTACTAGTTGCAATGCAAAATGTAAAAAAAAATAATAATCCAGTTTTAAATATTGACAAATTAGTGTTGTTTTTATGTCTAAAAAAGAAAAGGCTGCAAGTGTAATATAAAACTACGATCCTAAACCAAACTTCATAGTTTTTGAGGTGCTGAATTCAATAATGGTTATCATCAGTTGCCAAATAAAATTCCCTCAAAAATTATGAAAAACATTACAAAATTTTTTCAGTGCATTCGCAGTACAAACGAAGCTCCATGGTGGAATTGGGGCGACATGGCAACATTGTTGCAAAACGTTATCGAGTTCCTGTAGAAAGATTTTTCTTTTGGGAAAGTAAAAAATTTTGTTTTTTTTCTGCAGAAAGTTTCAAAAGATTTTATCTTTTTTTCCTGAATTATATTCAAAAGATGCTTTTCCTGCTCATCAGAGTTGAAAAAAATGCTTGAGATAATGTTAAAATAAAAAATAATGAAGTAAAAAAGTTGGTTTTCTTTTCTGTAGAAATTTTCGTTTTAATTTTTTTATACAGTGAATACTATTGATTTCCACATAGTTTTTAAAATCCAATATTTTTAATACGATATTATTTAGTACAACTAAATCTCAAAATAAAAATTCGTATTTTGCAACCCGTTTTGAAGAGTCCAATTTGCGTGATTTCGTTGTCGATCCTTTTTTTTTTCTTCGGTAGTTACTGCTGCGAATTTCATGGATTTTCTGTAATTTTTTTAATGTGATGAGGATTTACGAAATGCAAAAAAGGAAATAATTAGTGTGTTTTCCTCCAACAAACTGTGAGATTATCTCCCGTATTATTAGAATTTAAAAAATATTACACATTTAATTGAAAAATTATTTTATCCGAAAAGTTCTTTTTCTTAAATTTGACGTTTGTGTTTCTGTTACTTTAATTTAGTAACACGTATATTTGTTATTTTTAAAAGTATCTTGCAGAAATATATTAGTATTAGATATGTCGCAGAAATCCCGAAAAAATTTTCTCACAGGGAAACAAAGCAGCTTAAATACTCATAACTTGCACAGTTTTTAACCAATTTTTTCAAAATTTTAAATCAACAATTTTGTAATTTATCTTAAATTTCTCCATTGAATATTTATGAAGTTGTAGCTTAAAAAACACTACGTGAAGTGATTAATTTTTTATAAAAATGTCCATATTTTCATAAATATTTACTCTAGGTTTGTGAAAATGTATGCAGTTATTAAAAACAACAACTAAAGTAATCAAAAAGGGTTATAAGTTTGCAGAGGGTGTTCAAAAATACTTATTTTCTTTTGTAATTTATTGTTGATCTAGGGGACTGTCCAGGGCAAATTTACTGTTGTTTAGCTGTACCTTCACAAATTCACCCTTAGGAAAAATGGTAGTTTCACAAAATGCTTTTTAAAAAAGCAAGCTCTAAGATTCTCTTCCCCGCCTCTTAAAATTTTGTTTTTGTATCCTCGTGAGAAACGATAAATCCCGGGTTAATTAAGCATAGACGAATAGGTAGCACGCGCTTGGTCAGGTAGTGTGGTGTGGTAGCCTAACCGGTCGCTTACGACATATTATAGCGAGCTTTCTCCGCAGAATTTTCGTTTTTTTAAATTGAACAGCGAGGCAGTTCCTCCGTAAACTTAATAGGAAGTTGAAATTTAAACATTGTTCTAAATTTATTCTAACAGACCTTGAGTTTTTATGAAACATTTGAAATTTTGTGAACTGTGAAATTTTTCCTAGACCCCGTGGGAAATATTCTCATAATAACTTTTAGTGCAAATGCTGTTAAATGCATGTTTCTTTTTTTTTTTTTAAAATTCAAGTTGGAATTTAACAATGAACAAAGATTTTTATGAATTTTTAACTTGAGATGAAATTTTAAGCCCAAAATTTTACAATAGCAAATTTATTTTTGAATATATGGGGAAAAATATATAAAAATTTACCAGTCATAAATTATTTTTATTTGTAGTGATATAATTTTTGAAAATATCTTCTTACTTTACCATATTTTTGTGTTGATTTTTTAATATAATTCTTAATTTTCACAAATTATGTAATTATTGTGAATATTCTTAGTTTTCACAAAATAGGTACCTCTCATAAAAACCTAGGCAGACCCCTGAGGTCTCTCAAATCCCTAAAAGTTTTGAATTTAATTCCTGAGTATAAAAAATTGCATGAACTAAATATCTCTTAACTTACAAAATAATCCTTTAAGTATTTCTGGACAAATTTAAAATAAATGTAAAATACTGANTTAGAAAGACAGCTTTCTTTCTTCTTTTTTTAATTCAGGAAATTTTCCAGAATTTTGACTTGGGCTCACAATCACCCCTGTAGGTAGCACGTGCTTGGTCAGGTAGTGTGGTGTGGTAGCCTAACCGGTCGCTTACGACGTATTATAGCGAGCTTTCTTCGCAGAATTTTTGTTTTTTTAAAATTAAGCAGCGAGGCGGTCCCTCTGTAAACTTAATAGGAAGTTGAAATTCGAACATTGTTCTAAATTTATTGTAACCGACCTTGATTTTTTATGAAACATTTTTTCCTCTGTGAAATTTTTTCTAGACCCCGTGGGAAATATTCTCATAACGAAAATAACTTTTAGTGTTAATGCTGTTAAATGCATGTTTTTTTTTTTTTTTTTTTTTTTTTTTTAAAATTCAAGTTGGAATTTAACAGTGAACAAAGATTTTTATGGATTTTTAACTTGAGATAAAATTTTAAGCCCAAAATTTTACAATAGCAAATTTATTTTTGAATATATGGGGAAAAATAGATACTTTACCATATTTTACTTTACCATATTTTACTTTACCATACTTTACTTTACCATACTAGATCTTACTTTACCATATTTTTGTGTTGATTTTTTAATATAACTCTTAATTTTCAAAAATTATGTAATTATTGTGAATATTCTTAGTTTTCACAAAATAGGTACCTCTCATAAAAACCTAGGCAGACCCCTGAGGTCTCTCAAATCCCTAAAAGTTTTGAATTTAATTCCTGAGTATAAAAAATTGCATGAACTAAATATCTCTTAACTTACAAAATAATCCTTTAAGTATTTCTGGACAAATTTAAAATAAATGTAAAATACTGAAAGTATCTCTTCCATTATTGTAGGGCAGTGTATATATATTAGGGATATAACAAATATTCAGCCACTATACAGTATTTGGCTTGTTTGGTCCCCTTGCCAAATATTCGCAATGCATTATTTTGAAAAGTCTATGTATTTCGACGAAGTTTTTGTGATAAATTTGAATAAATGTAAGAAAAAATGATCAAAAGGAAAAAAAAATTCCGACTACACATTATTGGAAATAGTTATAGTTTTTCTATTTCTCTCTTTTTATTCATCTTAACAACTTTAGTTTTTTTAATAGCTGTTAATTTTTTATTTATCTTAAATATTTCTACTTTATCTTAATATCTAATTAGCTTTTTTATCTTAAACATTTCTGTTAAATTTTCCCCCCCTTACCCCAAACCAATACTTCAGCTAAGTTTTAATTATTTTTCAATAATGACTAAACTTATTAATATATAAAACATATTTATTAGCTAAGCATTTCTTGTTTAACTGAAATTCATTATTAATATATTTTGATTTTAAATGCATAAAATCATTGTTAATAAATTACAGAATATTGACTTTTTGAGCTGAATGTTCAGCTATACACTCAAATCACTATTAGTTACATCGCTGATATATATAACAAATACAATATTAACAAGTAATTATTAAAATTATTTTGAAATTCTGAGTCAATCATAGAAATGGCTACCACTAGAAAAAAATCTTTTATGAAACTCGTAAAATGTTGGTGCAGCTATGCTTTTATATTAGCTAAACATTTCTTGTTTAACTGAAATTCATTATCAATATATTTTTATTTCAAATGCATAAAATCATTGTTAATAACTGATTTGTTTTTGTCTTCCAGGCTAATGGTAAAGATAATAATCAGTTGGTAATCACAAAGCTGAGATCAGCAGCTGGACTTGCAGAATTAGCTACTCGAAAATACAAATCTGCTGCAAAAAATTTCCTTCAAGCCTCTTTTGATCACTGTGATTTTCCAGATGTTAGTATTCCTAATTTTTTAAGAAATNTTTTTTTTTTTTTTTTTTTTTTTTTTTTTTTTTTTTTTTTACGTTTAAGGCAAATTGTGTTTGTTATGTTATTGAGTACTCTCTGACTTCCTTAGCTTATTAAGGGAAAAAAAACTTTTGACATAAACCAATATTTATCTTTTCTTTTTTATTAATAAATTTGTATTAATCATCTTTATTATAAGATAATTGTTATTTAGTCACATATTATTTTTTTTTCTTATTCTTTATCATTCTTTATTTTATTAATTTGTCTACTGTGTATTTACATTTACTGAAATTCTGAAAAAAAGAAAGAAAAAATTGGCTACTGTGCAGGTTCTACCCTTTTCCCATGAATTTATCTTTTATTTATTTCTCCAGATTATTCTAAAAATAAAATCATTTACAAATTTGTAAGTAGTTAAACAAAATATTTCAAATGATAACCCATATAATATTTCAAAATGGGGGGGCGGGGGATCACAGCTTGCTAATCCTCATAACAGTAAGGAAGCAATTTAATTAAATTGTTTATTTTTTAATGTTTTAACTTTTAAAAAAATTTACGTATAGGAATGATATTGTTTTGTTACTGTGATTTAAAATAGTAATTAAATTTTGTTTTAAAAATTAAAAAGAAAAATTTTCTGCATTAGCCTATTGTGGGTTAGGGGAATCATAGAGGTTAAAGCTTCTCAATTTCATGACCATTGGTTTGATTAAGCCTACTTTTTGAAGCATAGGCAGGGGTCTGTTTAGAAGAAATTTGGGTCCGTTAACGGACCCTTCACAAAATATCTTTTTATAAAAACGGACCCTTCACAAAATATTTTAACTTAAAAACGGACCCTTCACAAAATGAATTTTCTTATAATCGGACCCTTCACAAATTTGTTTATCTTCATTATTATTTTTTTAATCGAATAAACCCTTCCCAGGGCAGAAAACAAGAAAGATGGATGTAAACGAATTAAGTTTTGTCTTCGGCAGACGATTCTTCCATTATTCGTCCGAAATGAATATTCTGCGTTCAGCAGTATAGGCTAAATACCAAATATTTGTATGTTGCATCTCTAATTTAGAAGCAGCAATTGTAGTTTATTTTTTAAAATTTAATTTTTTTAATTATAATTTTACAGTGCAGAGCATAATCTTGTATATCTTTACAATTTAAAATCTCCTTGAAAAGTTTTTTTTTGCAATAACGGACCCTATTTGCACAAATTCATAAAAGCGGACCCTGCTTGAAAGAATGTGAATAATTTTTTCACAATTTCACGAAAAACGGACCTTTCACAAAATGTCTGGACAGACCCCTGATAGGTGGCTGGTGGTTAGCATTGCACAGCACCCACATTTACTTCTTAGACTAGTTGGTACCCATTATGTCTGGTTAGGCTCCAAGCTGCCATTGGGAGTTGAAACCTAGCTCTTCACAATAAGAGCTTAGGGTCTTAACCACTGTACCATAGTTCCTCATGATAATACTAGAATAATACTTTTTTTGCCAGAGATGCTGCTCTTTCGTCTTATTTAAAAAATAAATAAAAAATTGTGCAGTGTTTTTCTATTGCTCATTTTTAATTATTTTCATTTTTGCATGACTATAAGATTTAAACTATTAAAGTTCTACTTTGCATTTAAGACTTAATTCTGTAAAATTAGATAAATTTCCCTGTATTAAATTATTCAATAATTTATTTATCAATTATATTTATTTAAATGTTCTACTTTAAAAATTATTTCATATCTAAAATTTTCCAGAACTTTAAACAATTTAATTAAATTTAAAACAGATTAAATTCATTTCAATTGCAGAATTTTAATTATTTTCAATTTTGCACGATTATAAGATTTAAACTATAAAAGTTCTAGTTTTCGTTTAAGACTTAATTCTGTAAAATTAGATAAATTTCCCTTTATTAAATTATTTAATAATTTATTTGTTTATTATATTTATTTAAATATTCTAATTTAAGAATTATTTTATATCTAAAATTTGGCATAACTTTAAATAATTTAATTAAATTTAAAACATTCTTAATTAAATTTCCCTGCCCTGAATTTTTATAAAAATTATCTAAAATATCAAAATTTTTAACAAAATTTTAAAATTTCAATTTGACTTTTGATAAGATTTGGATCTCATCAAAAATTAAAGTGACAATAAATCAAGACATTTTAAAACAGCCCACAATAATTTTTATTTGTAATATAATAATATAAATTAGATTTTCTTTCTTTCTCAACTCACAATATATAAATTCATTAAATCATTAAATAAAAATATTTTTATAAATATTTTAGCTACTGTAACTAATTGAAAAGAAACAGATTCATATAAAATGTTTGTATTGGAATTTTAGAAGTGTGGAAAGTCTTGTTATTAAAAATATTTGAAAATGCAAGAATACTCGGGGGACTTATATCAATCATTTTTCATATTTATTTTAGCTAATTTCCCCAAACAATGTAGCCATGTATGGAGGACTTTGTGCTCTTGCATCATTTGATAGACAGGAACTATTGAAGTTTGTTTTGTCAAGCAGGTATGCTGTTTTAGTTCCATTTTATACTGTTCTTGAGTTAATTTATGTGAAGTTTTAGATAATTATCAGTTTGTTCTTTTTAGTAATGCATAAGTGCCTACTATTACAATTTATATGTAATTATTACAATTCTATAGTAAAGATTAAGGTCTTGTAGTGTGTCTACTACTACAAAAATACAATTCCAATTCACTAATACAAAAGACCTGTTAACTCGATTCTATGTTGGGGGTACTTTCTCACAGATGAAGGTTGACATGGTCAATAGCTACCATCGCCTCAGTCTTGTCAGAGTGTACTGGTCTCAATAATCATGAAAGTTAAGAATTTGAGAAAAGGTCATAAATGTCTCGAAAAATTCATAATTTTTTTTTGAACAGAGTCACAAAATTTGTTATTTTTAAGTGCTTCCATAAGTGATAACTTAAATTTGAAATTTGCGTATAAAAGGGAAATGGTATTAATTATATTTTGTTTAATGCCGGGCACTTTCGTGTATTTCAGAATTTTTTTTTCTTTAAAATTTTGGGCAAAATTAAGGAAATATGCCACATAATACAAACTTTTCAAAGCAGAGTTACTTACTTAATTTCTATTGATAACAGAATGTCTCCTGAAATTAAAAACTGTCTCTATCTGGCAAATACAGTGTAACGTCTCATATCCGGACGTCCCTTTTCCGGAACGATCGATTTCCCGGACACTTTTTAACAATCAAAATAAACAAACATCTCTTTATCTTCCCTTTTCTTTTAAAAAAAAGAAGGTCTTTTGACACGTTTTCTCTTCTAGCTTGCACTGAACCCCTGATTTATTCATTGAACCCATAAATCACAAAGGGGAAAAAGAGAAGATCTACCAAGACCATTGAGTGACTGTTAGCGATGCTCCTACTCTGTAATGCAGGAAAAGAGGGAGATTTGTTTTCAAAAGACCACAACTGCGTCCCTTCCCCTCTCTTTTCCTATGCAGCTGGCTAATAGAAGAGGCATTTCCTGGAACCTCTTTATTGAAAGAGAAGGGTAAACACTGCAAGCATTAACTTGGAGGGGGAGTCAAAATGGAACATTTGAATAGGTCTGAAAGGATACACATCCTTGAGAAACATTCATTCTTCCCCTGACCATGTAATATTTAGGAGGTGGGGGGAAAAAGGGGTAACATTCTTTCTTTAGCAGATTCTTTCAGTCATAGAAGAAAAAATAAAGAGAACCCCATCAGCGTGCCCCGCCTTTATGCTTGATTGATAGCTAATGATTGGAGAGAAAACAATAATTTGTCGCTTCCCCACCCTCAGCTTAAATGATCTCCTCTCTACACTTATTTTCTTTCACAAATAAGGAGGAAATGAATTTTTCTCCTCCACCTACCCACCTTAATGAATGACGGGAATTTCCCTTTCTTGCTTGAATCATTCTAGTTAAAAATGGCGGATTATTATTTTCATATGTCAATTTTTTTTGTTTTCTATATTTTAAGCAGTAATATTTTTTTCTAATATTTCATATTTTATTGATTAGATATTCTAATACTAAAACATTATTCCCCTTAAAAATAATGTTTATTTATTTTTTGCTTCTTAGATTTAGATCATTTTAAGCTTTGTTCCAGAATGACATGAATTTCCCCTTCCTGCTTGAATCGTTCTAGTTCAAAATGGCGGATTAATATTTTCATAACTGTTAAATTTTTTTCGTTTTCCATATTTTCAGCAATAATATTTTTTT